AATCAGATTAAACTTTTAGATTATAACTAATACATTGTACCAAAGCACACAAATAAAACAACATAATCTTTGCCCCAATTGGGGCTGGAGAAAAACATGTTCTAAAAAAATCCCCATACGGCCCAAAAACGTGCTCTACTTTTTCATGCATGAAAAAAGGTGTAATTTTGTTAACAAATGATGAGGAGACAAGTAGCGTAAGGTTTGATTTTAGTGTGGAACATTAGCCTTAACAATGTGGGTAGGGGGGGGGGGGGGGGAGGGGGAGGGCTTTAAGTCTCGAAAGGTTTTAGAGGGAGCTCAGCCAAACCTCGCTGCTTTTTTACGCAGAAAAGAATTTCACGGAACAGGAAGAAAGGTATTTTCTCAATCATCTCGAAAAAAAGATGTTTTAGGAGATCCTTACAGGACATTTTATTTGCGATCGAAGTTTATCATTAACATTTTAGGAGTGATTGCGGAACATTTCAGGACAATATTTTCATTCAAAATCTTGAACCCATACGAGAAAAAGCCAGCAAAAATTTGATTGATTTTGATAATTAATTTTACAATGCTACACATTCAACCAAAGCACATTTACTGTTACAAAAGCAACTCGTACCAACACAACTCAATGTTGTCAAACTATTTGCATGCCCTATTTAAATGTAACTTCATAACTTATATCTAATGCAAAATCTCTCTTATCTTTTATTAATATCCGGTCTGAAGTTGACGTGCGATAGGGTTAGGGCTAAGGTAAGTGTTCGAGTCAATATGATCCCTTCATAACCGCAATCATAAAGCGAAAATTCAACAAGCTTCGACATGGTAGCAAAAAGGTCTCCTTATTGCTTATTTTCCTTTCATTTCCTTGGGGAACAAAATGTGATTACTTTGCAGGTATTGTTGAGCATAAGATGGAAATACGAGATTAGTTTATAACAACCTAACTTATAACACATGAAATCCTGTATTTCCGGCAACTATAATTGCCATAGAATACGAGACGTTTCCGTGTGTAGTTCGGTACAGAAACAAAGTACAGTAAACATAAGGAAAAAATTAGATGAACTTGCCTTAGGTGTTAGAATAAAGGGCCTAATATTAAGTAAACTAAAAAGGCCACAAGAAAACAAAACTCCATCCGATAATAATACCTCAAATGCAAGAAAAGGAAAAGGAAGAAAGACTCTGTGCGAACAGGCAAAATTTATGCAAATTGTTCCAGAGACAAACCCAGAAATATTCTACCGTAAAATTTATCACCTAGAGCAAGTTTAAGGATTATATCCAGGACGAGAAATGATTTGACTTCAGATGTAATTGTTGGCCTAAAACAAGCTGCTGCTAGTCTTTAGTAGCCATCAATTAAAATCGAAAAAATCAGAAAACGCACTTCTTATTCTTTTCTCTCCATGTAGGGCCTTTTTAACTTGCTAACTTGAGGGAATTGCCACCCCAGCCACAGTAATTTTCTAATCTTTCAGTCAAAAGACTATTGTTCTCATCTTTACATATACAAAGGCCTGCCCCGCCTGTTAATTTGGAACATCTTCCTTCGAAAAGACAATGTTCCAAACGTGCTTTTTCAGCATCTCAATCTATCAATCGCTTAATCGTGTTGCCCAAGAGAGGAATGACGCACATAGAACTCTTCCCAAATGATTCGCTTGATTCTAAAGCAAGCGATATAAAATGAGCTATTTGCAGCAGACTGGCCACGTGGCTCAACAACCAGATAAAATTATCACGCAGATCAAGGGATAGATATTTGGGATATTTGAATAGATCACAGACAACACAGAATCCTTGGCAACCATTTCATGAGAATTGAACACGCAAAGTTTATCCGAATTTTGAGGGGCAAATGACTGGCATAGACTGTTATCAACAAATTACAACGAATTTGGCTCTTTTCCATAACTTGGTTATAAAGAGGGCGTTGTTTTTCTGCTTTGAAAAAAGAACGGTCTGAGAAGTTTCTGAAAATTTCTGAAAATGAACTGCGAGTTTCTTCATTGACTGGCAGCCTCATTTCTTGGCCTCTTATAGACATTAATTTGAAACAGGTGCGAGACACAAAAAAGGATTGCAGCAAGTAAGATTAATAAATAAGAAGGGGGGGGGTCGACTTTTAAGAGTTTACGTTCCAATTCAGTAAAAACCCGAATGTAAGAACCTGGCTTAGGTTCTTATTTGGTTTTTAGGAACCTGGCAGCCCCACTGGTAAGAACCTAACTTGAAATTTTAGCCTAAAAAGTTCTTGTGTTTGAAATCTTACCTTTTACTGTAATTATTACTGTAGTTGCTTATACAGGGCCGTTGGAATCGGGGGCTGAGGGGCTGCAGCCCTCTACCAAACCGTACTTTATTTCCTTTTCAACAGTGTGCTGAATGGGAGCATTACAACGGGCAGCACCCTCACCCGCCCCCCCGCCCCCATATGGATTTTGTTCCAATGGCACTGTAACAATGACAGCTACGCCGCCTAATACGGGATTCCATATTGTTTAGCTATTTTATGTTGCTGATTAAAAACTTATTTACCAAGTTCTCTTTTAGTTGTCTTATTTTTAATGTGACTTTGTCTGTGAATGAAGATTAAATTCGAGAAAAAAGAAACAGGCTTTAAAAATTTAGTATGCGATGACATGACATGTTCGTCCTTGTTTTTCTGGGCCGTTTCTGAGCGACAAAGGGTCATTCAGTGGCTCCTCGATTTTCTTCTCAATACATGCTATCAATTTTATTATTGTTGTTATTTCACTCACTTAACTGTGTTATACTTAAGCCAATTCCGCTCGCTTTCATTCGGTGCGTTGCGGTTGATCTTGGAAAAAAGACAGCAAAAGTTTTATGTTTGAAGCTCATGTTTGCATTTTCGCGTAGCAACCGTCTTTATTGATTTTTGGAGACATTCCAGTTAGATAATTGCAAAGATAGATAACGAACTGTTTGAGGTAAAAACACGCAATAACAAACTCCAAAAATTGATTAGAAATGTTTCACGTTGTGCTATCAAACATACCTTTGATATGATTTTTCTAGCTGAAACTTCAGTGCCTTTGAAATTCCTTGGCAGAAATGGTTAAGGACACTATGTGGGCTAAAAACAAAAAAATTCCAATGTTCTTTTAGATTTTAGCACATAAAACTGAATATATTTTTGCAAAGTTCACTTTTGTTACTTGAAAAGACTTTGTGTAACTGTTACATATTTTGTGGATTTCATTTCCTGTTGACTCAAAGGATCCCGAAGGAAGCTTTAAATAGCAACTTTCGGTGATAAATAAAAAAAATCTGGTTTTCGCGTGACCTACGAAATTGGTCAAAATAACCTTTATACAAGGATGCAGTAAAAAGTCGAGAAACTCGTGGATTTGCAAAGTTTCTTATTCACAAAGCCTGTATGTATTCGACAGCGGTCGACCAATATATTTAGACAGCAGTTTCAAAAACTAATTGGGTCGTAAACAGAACTTGATTGTATCTTCTTCTAGCGGTTTGTCGTGACTTGATAAATGTCCACAATACGAATATCTGCACGTATAAGTGGATTGGATCTCTTGTTTTCCTGTGTTCTTGCATAAACGTCACATTTGATTGAGGCCGAGGATTCCAGGGTGGTGAAACATTAATGATTGCTATTTGCACATTCTTCTTTTTGGTAATAGCCCAGTTGTTTTCCTTGAAACTCTTCGCGTACTCCATATTTTTATCATCATCATAATTATAAAGAAGTTAATTTATCTAAATACATATATCGGTAAAGAGCCATACCAGCTACACTTTTCAATGCATCTTCTCACAATACTATCCAGGGGTGACTTATCAGCACATTGGTACAACTTTAGAAGGGAGGAGTATTAACCCCCCTGTGATTAAAAACAGTATTCACATGTGCCGAGGATTTTTTCAATTAACGACGCAATAATTCTGCCATATTCTCAAATACCATAAAGATTATTTAGGGAAAACGGCTCAAGGGAGGGGGGATACCTTAACATATTTGAAGGTACAAAGAAGTGCCACTATTTAGGGGTATCTTTTTTCTTAAAAGTGCGAAGTTATTGGTATCAGTTTTTGAAATATGTGCGGAACTATGAGTACCATTTTGGGATAACATTGCAAAATTATAAGGAGGGAGATTTTGCATTAACAAATTGAATGTCTAATTTAAAGATTAAAGTACGATATATGTGTAATATTGAGATTTTAGGGCAAAGGACATGGGAATCTTGGTCAATAGTTTTGTTGTGTTTAAAAATGTTATTTGCTTTGCGGAATTATGGGTAAAGTTTTCGTCATATTTGCAGAATTGTGGGTCACATTTTTCAGAGATCTCCGGAATGATGGGTCCAATCTTTTCAACCAAAATGGCACATCCCCATTCTAAATTAGGCTTAGTACCCCTCCCCCCTCCGAGGATTACGGATCCTGTTCTCTGCATTGCGCGAGAAATTAAGCCCCACAGCAATTTACCATCAGTACCTATGAAATAAAACATCCAGAGTGAGCAGTCTGTAGAAAATTCATCCTTAGAACGTAAATTTTGTTGTTAATCTCAGTAGGCCTAGAAAACATGCCTAAAAATATAACGAAGAATTTAGCAATTTTCATTTGATAATAATGGCTTTATTTCTAAATAATGCTGTTGAAAACTTAAAATTTGATTTGAATTTGTTGTCACTAGGACTTTGCAAAGTGTCGTGTAGCGCACCGGCAAAGCCCCCATTGTGATAAATTGAAAAACAAATCTTTGGTTTTCATTTTCTTACGACTCTGTTCGCTTTCTCTAAGAATTTGAATTGAATCCTTAATATTTGGATGAATAATTCAAAATTTATTTTTTGCTCATCAACACTTTGGAAACAATAATAAAAAACACCTTGAAGGGAGCCCGAGTTGTACCTAAGGGGCTGTTTAATTGGTTAATAGCGAGCAGTTTTCCCCGAAGAGAGGACCTAACCGCACCCCCGGGTGCCAACCTTTGTCCAGTTGATTGACTCGGCAGGAAAGCTAGACATAACTTCACACAATAAAAACCTTATAGCCAGTATTGAATGGCCTTGTGGCTTGATTCACGTTTTTCAGTATATGCCTACTTATGCAAACAAAGGTGTTAAATTTGATAACATTGGAAACAAGATAATTTTCAACGTTCTTTTTTGTCTCTGTAAGCAAATAGGTTTGCCATTCTCGCCCGAACGAATTCTGGTACGACAAATTTGCCAAGAAACTAATTATAATCCTTGTATATACACTGGAATCTTGGGGGCTTGAGACCGTTGAATCGTTTGAGGATTATGGAAATTCATCACTCATATTCTTGGCTAAGTCCTCATGCTCAAAGCATATTTGCATTTTGAGAAAACAGCGAAGACTGGCCAGAACACTGACTGGACTGTTTGCCGATCATCAGGCAGGATATTCGCAGTAGGCCCCTCATCTCGTGTTTTGTTACTTGCCTAAATCCACGGATTAAGGATTGGTACTTATTATGGACGTTGGTTTGTCGGGCTCACTGTGTTTGAATTCGATGTTTCAGTTTCTGTCAGGGTAGAGTTTCAAGCGTGGATATAACTTGCGCTGAGAGCATATTTGCATAACTTCAATCGTAGAACATATTTGGCATGTGCTCATTGTTTACCAGACATTTGGCCTGAAAGCAGCGGAAGATCGCACCGGAGTGCATCAGCCTGCAAGCGATTGTATTTTAACCTATTTCACCAAATTTATATTGAATTATATAGTCGTGGAACAATGAACTTTACTTCTTTCTGGCAACCATTTGCCCAGATCGGATTTTACACAATTTTTGAGGAGTAACTAGATACGTATCACGAGGCCTAGAGGGGAAATTTGGCGAACTTCGATCAAAGTGAACTTTTCAACAACAAATATCAACAGTCGGAGAAATTTATGGCATGGTTGGTTTCAATTTGGTGGAATAAAACTCATTTGGAGCAAAGGATCATCTTTTTCATCGGTGAGTTCATCGTTTATTCAGCTTAAAATATACGAAGCAATCAACATGTTTGGTTTCTTTTCATTCAACCGGCCTTTGCCTACAATTTGATCATCTTTCAATGTGAGTAAAATGAATTGAAAAATACCTTACAGTAAGAAAGATCATAATTTGTTTAAGTTTTCCAATTTGTGACATAAAGCCAGGCATTTGTAGGCAACGAGCTTGGTTTTCGAAAGGATCCAACCTGCGATATTGCCGGTTTAGTTTTATTTAAGCACAAAAACTCTTGAAAAGTCAAACACATTTTGATATTGTGTCTCATGATTTTAAAAGTAGATTTTTCTCCCCTTTCCTTATTTCAAACATCATTTTGACTGATTAAGCCACTTTGTTCAAGTTTTTGAGTCAATGCCAGGTTGTTTGAGTATTTAATTGACAGAAAACGCATTGTCCTACATTTATTAAGGTTTAAATTTATTTTATTTTAACAATTATTTAGTTTTGAGATTAATGTTTCGGATCTTTTTCTAGTCCGCTTCAATTTCCGTGTGTCCGATACGTCGAAACGATTTCTTTCATTTTAATTCCCCGAAACATCGCCTGGTTTCAATCATTTTTTCAGTCATTGGCGTGCTTTTGTTTGCCAAAATTATAAGAAAACCCTGAGGAAAAACAACGTTATATTGTGTTCGTGAAACTCTTGATTGCGGCTCGGTTATAGAGATTAAAGTTACAGCCAAACCGTGAATGTTTCCAACCTGAAATAAAGCATGTTTTTCAATATTTTTCTTCCATCGCCCATTTGTTTCGGTAATTTCAACATTCATCCGATTGTTTCTGTCACACAAACACTGAAGAATAATAGCTTGAAAGCATGTTATTAAATTGAGAAAAGTTTCCCATCTGCAGGCGATCATTTCAAACAATAGTATTCGGGATCGTGTTTGGCAGTTTTCAAAACACGCAATCAACCCGTTTTACAATACCGCACCGTGGAAAAATACTTGCTTTTAGATTCTGAATATTCACGGATCAACGCAAAGAGTCTTTTCATCAAGCCTTGGCGGTAAATTGTTTACCAAAAGGGATAAAAGCCTGAAATAAAAGAATTGGCTGGTCAACTTGACCAAATTTTAAGTTTGCTATGTACATACGACTGTGTGTCGGGTAAATTGTCAGAAATATATCAAAATCGCAGAAATTGCACTATTTCCATTGGATTTTCTTTTCACTTGAATACTGAATTTTCCATGACGATTGCTGCCTGGCATGACAAATTGATTTTGATGTTAGATCTTCTCTTTCGTTTAGTATTTTATTTGTTCTAGTCAAGGCTTTTTGGAATCCGAAAGTCACAATGAATGTCTTAGGTTATATATCTACGAGAATACCCCCAGGCTTTTGAGTTTGTATTTTGAATTAGGACAATCATCACGAAAATGTTTGTGTTAAGCTTTCAACGAGTTATTGCTTTGCTTACTGCGGGTGAATAGCTTATTGGATCGCAGACTTTAGCTTGTCAACTTCAATCAACAATACCTGCATGCAACTCTAATAATCTTTGTCTGTCTTTTGACGGGGGGTCAAATGGTTCTTTGCTGTAAGTCCTAAGCAACGCTGAAATAAGTCAAAGACGGAAAGCGCTTTCTTTCTGTATGTAACTGTTTGGTTTACTGCTTTCTTTATCTTCTTATTTAATCTCTCTTTTGATTAATACACCGCTGTTCTTGATGTAAGGGTAATTTTCGTTCTACAGTTAAGCGGGCACCTATAACTTTATTTCAAATCATTTAGGCCCTATAATTGTGGGTAGCGGTGCAGATGACGCACCAGACACGCGTAGATGTACACTCTTTTTTATAATAATCAGGAAATTTAAATTCAGGCTGACTGTTCTTAATTTGTTTTTAAATTTGTAGGGTAATGAGCAGTGCGGTTGCTAGCTTTTCAATCTAGGGAGGTGTCCAGGCCTTATTTGCCAACAAAGTGCATGAGAAAACCTTCATTTGCCGTCATGTTTGAATATTCACCGAAAGGCACCTACCTTTACTAGAAAGGCACTTATCGTTAAAAATCATCGATTTCGAGAAAAAACGTTGTTCAAAATTGCATTTTGCAGAAACTCAGCCTCAGCTTATTCTTAGTTTGTTCTTAACTTTTGACCAATTTTGAGGCTCGTGTTCTTATAAAATTGTTCTTATAAGAAAAAGTGTATGTATAATTTTAGGAGCTGATTTTGTGTTTGTTCTCTCATGACAAAATATTGGACCACAAATGACACATTTTAGCTATTTATGTAACATTAAAATAAAGGAAAGCTTGCTGTGTCGCATTACTATTTTATCGAGCTTGTCGAAAAAAAAGTGTTTTAACCATTGAATGAAATTACGAAATAGATATTACTTTATCGGTTCTCAATGGTTAAGCAACCCAGATTCATTTTCGCCAACCATGTCTGGTTTGTTCATGAAATTGGTGGCCATCTACCTCAACATATGGTTGCTTCAAGAAAGAAACCAGTGCCGATTCTTAACCTCAAACCGTTAGTCCGAAATTTTTTAGCTATTTATAATGCATGCCCTAAAAATATCGATTGCAAAATGTTCAGCAAATAACAATATTCCATTCAAAACCTGCACATTATTTGAGTCCAGTGGCTGGAGTGTTCGGGCAGGTGCTAACACAAATTGTTTACTTTCTCATCAAAACACGATGAACCAGGGCGAACAAAAACTAGCTATTATTTACGCTTCACGATTATTAAAAATACAATTTCACAGTGTGATTTGTAATGAATAATGGTTTTATTAGGCCCTATAAGAAAACCCCAGGAGATAGTAAGGTATTCGATTTGCATTTGACTCGCATATTGATACCGAAGTCTGCAAAAAAGCTGCCATTCAGCTAAACGCAATCAAAAGACTAGCTCGATTCATGGGTAGCAAAGAAAGAGTGGTGATTGTTAATTCATTTTTTCTTTGTCACTTCAATAACTGCCCCCGCATCTGGTCATTCTCCAGTAATGCAAGCCAAAAAGGCTCGAGAAAGTAAACGAGAGGGCCCTACAATCAACAGGTTTTTCTTTCTTTGGAAAGTATAATTTATGCTAACCAATGTTTTGGCACTTGCAAGTTTCTCAAAATAGAAAAGTTGCATGTGCTTGCAAGTCGTGTGTTGACTCACTGGGAAAATATTCACCTTCGACCCAAATTATCACGCCTTTCTTTTATTTTGATAAATTTCACAAGATTTGAAGCTCAGTGCAGCTCAATAGAGAACGGGGTGTCGAATCAGTTTAAATCTCTCATTCTCAGAGGGGGTCCTGTCGTCTGAGACTGCAAGTGTACGACAGACTATTGACTGAATTAAAAGAGGCATCATCACTCAGCATGGGTTGGTAGTAGATACGGCTTTCAATATTTGAGTGTTTCCTGTTGCCAGGGGGTTTACTTCGTGCCATTTATAATTTGTTGTGTTCGTCATCAAGTGGGGTCTGACGCCAATCGGCTAATTAGTTTGGAATTTGTGCTAATTCACCATTTTCTATGTTTCTGTCAAGGCCACAAAGCGAATAAATGAACCAGGGGGCATTTCATAACGAGTTTTATTTTTGCAAAGTTTGGGCTAACTCTAACACACAGTTATCTTTGAGTAAATTTTTGTTATGTATGCCGTCCCACCTCTAATTTGCGCTGTTCTTTGACTCTTCATAAATTATTGAGATAATTTATATATTTTCTTAATGGCTTAAGCTATCAAGATAGAAACAAACTACAAAGGGCAACAAGGGATTGTTAATTTAAAATTGGATCCCTAAGAACATAAGCTGAGGCTCTGTCCCTTAAAGCCACACGCCCTACAGAATTAAACTAACCAGCAGTGGCGTCTCACGTGTGCTCCTCCGTACATTTCAGCCCCTATGAATTCAGAATTTTTCAGGATTTCATTTTCTATCCAAAGCCTAATTACAAATATATTTTGTATACTTCAAGCAGCTAATGACAGAAGTTACAAACTGAACAAAACGAAGACAATAAAATAATTTACTAAAATAGGTGTAAATCTAAGAGTCGATATTTTTATTACCCGTTTCAACTTCGCGATTTGAATTATTAGGTTGTGTAAGTTCTGCTTTTTTATTGTACGACCCCAAATTTCGACGTTTCCCCCTGGACGGTCGCGTGGAATGCGATATTCGAGTAGTCAGGGCTCACCACAAAACACTTTGCTCGGAAATACATTATTCATCCAATGCATTAAAAATTGAAAAGAATCGGTAGTAAATCGTAATTAAATTACGATGAAAATTACAAGTTGATTACGCCGGTAATAATTTAGTTGTGGAAATAAAAATATATTGGTATCACAGATGGGTATCTCTTTGTGTATTAAGTGCAGGAACAAAAGCAAATTTTCTAAGATCTGCTAGTAGGTGGTTTTGCAGGTCATGCGTTTAACTGAAAGGGGTAATATTTCACAAAAGATATGTTTTCGAAACTGTGACTTATGTTAAAAAATGTTTCATTGGAGTAGATAACAGAAAAGCTATTCAGTCCCCTCTCTTTTGTATTGTTTTCGTCGTTTGTGTCCTAGCGGAGGCGCACACATTTTCTAGAAGCATGAGCCTTTAAAAGAAGCCAGGCATTTAAAATTCGCTTAGCTTCTCCATGCATGTCCTTTACCCAATGAATGTAATGCCAAAATCATGCTAAGAATTCCCGATAAACACACAGCTACAATTCTGTGCAACAGTAATTTGGCCTAAACACTTTAGTTTACTTATATACTATATTCAACGCGGCGATAAGGAAATCTTTAGGTGTGGTAAATGAATTCAAACCGGGCAATTCATTCAAATCTTGGTTTGGATTCATTCAAATCACACGGGTGCGATAGTATGAGGGACTATTTCCCTCATACTATCGCACCCGTGTGATTTGACAATGAATCGTAGTTAAATATTAATGTGGCTATTTGAAGTAATTTAGAAAGTGTTTTTCATGTTTTTCGGTTGTTGATTGAGACCGATCAAGCCAAACAATAGCACAGGTCTTTAATGAACGTATTTAGTTTCATCTATCGCTTAATCATGGCAATTTTGGTTTTTGTTCTAATAGAGGATTAAATTTTGTCTAATTTCAAACGTCATAGCAGATTTTTAAGGAATTTCTGGATGGGACGAGTTCTGTGACACAAATTACGTTGCCTTTCTTGGCAACATGTATTTGAATCGAAAAGGTAGATGTATTTTAATCGACTGGTGTTTAATGAGGCGTGAATTTTCTGGTTGTAGTTTTGTTTCACATGAATTTCGGCTTATTTCTTTGTTGCGCAGAATTCAACAGACCAAAGAAGATTTTTTTAAATTGGCTAGGCCTAGTTCGTGTCTTACCTTTTTTGTATGTATTGTATTGTATTGTATTGTATTGTGGATTATTTAATGTTAATTTTTACAGCAGTGAGTATACACTAATTAAGACTAACATAAAGCAATTTTAAGGATTGCATAAGACAGTTCAGTTACTGCAAAATGAGCACGCGCACTTGTTTTCAAGGAACCAAGTTTGGATCCGGGAGTCTTTATTGATTCCGGGAGTGAATTCCAGATTTTAGGCCCTTGAAAACTTAATGATCTGATACCATTATTGGTAGTTCTGGCTCTTGGAATGTCAAGGGGATTTTGAGTCGAAGGTTATGACCTGTTGTTTTGGGTACAAAATAGTCTTTCATGGAAACAGGATTAAGGTTGTTAAATGTTTTATAAACTTCGAGCGCTATAATTCTAACTGATTGGACATGTATGGTAGTTTCATTTGAGTTAGCAAGTAAATCTTTGTATGAAAATGAATAATACGAAGATGAATGCAAAAAGGTCTGCAGTTTTGTACCATAAAGCCCACCCTCCGATATTGTGCAATACTTCCCCACCAATGTATTCTTTGGTAGACACTAGACCCCCTATTCTCCTCTCAACCCCACCCCAAATTTTTGGCAAGATTTCAGATCAATGAAAGAAAAATCTTTATTTTAAATGGGATGGTCTCATTTAAGAATAATTAAGGAACATTTTTCAGCTCAATGTCGAAAATTGTTAAAATTATCGAGGCTCAGAAAAATTCTTATAACAGTAATTTTGCACAAAAATGTATGGTTAAAATCATGAGAAGTATTGAAATTGCTTTTTTTAAAGAAAACACTTTTTCAAATTACCACATTAATGTTTATTGCAAGGCAACGGTATCCGTTGGCCTTTGTTCGCAATGCTCCCGGGCAGTTTGTGCGTCTCTCCATAAACGTCAACGGGGTCGGTGTATGCCAAGCATTTCCTCTCGTTTCCCGCGCTAATTTGTCTACTTATTTTTAAATTACCTGGGTCCGCCTATTGTTTTAATAGCTCAGTGTTTGCCGTGAAGGTTTCTAAAGCTTTTTGTTCTTTATACAAATATTGTATTAAGAGGGCATGTTGACCAACACTCATAGCAGCCTCGAGAATGAATAAGGCATTTTACTTATTACAGATTGCAGTTACAATGAGGCATTTAATATAATCAATTCGCTAAGAGCATTAAGGATATTTCTGTGTCACCCCTCACTGTGCTTTGACCGTTGGTTTGAACAGGCTTGGCGACAGGTCACCCATGTCAGTTCTCATTTGCCTAGCTCAATTTTAATTTGGTTTATTAAAAATTCAGATCAACAGTGACGTGAAGAAGCAAATACCTCCAAGCTGGTCGATAAACTTTGGCTCGCCATGAGCGGTGAAAATGGAGTTGAACTTCGCTCGAAGCAAGATTCGGCCGCAGAAAATTGCTCCGAAGTCGCGGCCTCAAGCCATTCTAGAAAGAGTCATCAGTCCTCGGATAGCATTGGCAGGCACACGAAGTCAAATCAAAAGGGAGAGGAGCTTCCATTCTGTGAAGTCAGGAATATAATTTATCGACCTGGCGGTGAGTTTTCATCTTAAAATTAAAACTTATTTTGTTTCTTTTTGGAATATGCTCCGGGTTAAACCTGCAACTGGGATCCCATTGAGCGTTTTTTACAACCAAACTTTTTTACATTATTTGCACAATATCCTAAATAATGGTTATACAGCGTGTCTTCGTTGGTTAGGCTAAAACTATATCACATCATATTTCTATTAAACTTCCCTATAATTAGGGGTTTCTCCCTAAAACTGTCCATCTTCTCCCCTCATCGGATTTTGCCCTCCGGATTGCCATTAACTTTTCATTGATCGTGTTTCCTTTTCCAACCATCTCGTCTCTTGTGATCTGCCAACATGGAAACATGCGATCTGTAGGATCACGAACATTCTCTTTTGAGTTGCAAATTAGGGCATCTTTGAAAAGGAGAATTATTCTCAGTGCAAGTCTTGTCCTAATGCATGATGTTTGTTAGGCCGTCGCAGTTATTACGGTTATTTTGGTTAGCTATTTCTATTAAAATTCACAATTCTATTTCTATTTGCACGAAAATAACGTGCTATTTATTGGTGAACAGGTCCTTGATTGGAACCGGTCGTGCAAAATTGATGATACACCCACCAAAACAAAGGTAGACCTGTTCAAATCAAAGCTAAAAATACAAACGGTTCCACGGAATGTTAGGGGCTTATTATTCGTCTTGGGTATTTCTGATAAGTAGTGGCTGAGGTATTCTTCAACGGAAGATGAAAATGTAGGCGTGAACAACTGCTGAAATGTTGTTTCATCTGTGAGAAATATCGCAAATGTGGAGCAGGATGTCTTGTTTTCTCAAAACTGGCTTACACCTGCTTGTAATCTTTGTGAAGGATTTTCACCTCAGACCAAACGGACTTTCGCGGATTCCGCGCTTAGGGAAATACGTGAAAGCCCTATTCCAGCGCGAACAAAGAAAATCTTGTCTGCAAACCAATGTTTTGAATCTGTATTCTTCAAGCTTTCATCCAAAAAATTAATGGTGAAAGGCGATTGAATTTCCATGAATAATCTTGTGAAAACAATTAGATTTTGTTGTCCTATTATAAAAGTAAATCTCCCTGAAATACAGGCTTTGTATAATTCATGCAAAGCGGACGAGGAGGCAACCGCAAATCTTCATATCCTCCATGTGTTCAAGGGAGGTCGCTAATGTTTTGGTTTTCTAGAAAAGATGTTTAAAATAATATCAAACAGGCGAATTGAAATGCGTTATCCATATGCCTGGAAATTGGCATGAAATGTTATGATGTTCATCATAATAATCATAACTCAACCATCATTTTGATGCCACAAAATTTTGTCTTGCCTTATCATTATTATAACAGGTATCTCGGAGCAGGGGGGCTGAAGGGCTCCTCACGTTTTGCCAGAAATGCAAAAAATTAATCAATGAATCACCAGTCTAGACCCTTTTTGTTCGGTTTTAGCCCCTCCCCCACTTTTAACCCCCCTTCCACTTTTCTCAACGTTCCGCGGTGCCTGTAAATGTGTTGAATGCAACAGCGGTATGTTTGATAGAGCTGGTTTCTATTTCCATAAAAAGAGTTGAAAAAGCTTGAAATCGCTGCATTCCTCGTCTTCCCGATCATCTGTTCTCATGAACAATTGAGATCGAAGAACGAGTGTTGCGGATAAAGTTCTGCGTCTTAAAGAGGATTTAATTCAAACAAGGAGCCTGGATGCGTATTTCATCGAGGGATTTTTAGGGATCCTTGTGCGAGGAAAAGCATCTGCTGTGGATTTCGTCTGTTATCGGGTCTTGAAAACATGGGAGTAGTGCAAAACGATAGTCCAGTGACCTGCATTCGCCATTCTGGTGCTTGCCGTGTTTACATTCTTTTTTTATAAAAACAGATAATTTTTTCTGAGGTCGCTGTTCTCATGTTGTGGATAATTTTAGACTTGGCTGTTCTCAATGTCGCTCTCATTTCGACACAGAATTTTCTAAAACTGCATTATATGACTTGTCATTTTTAGTACCACGCTCTATAAGCTGATAAAATCTGTTCTGTTTTGTTTACACGAGACAATTTTCCAAATTTTCTTCTGATTTTCTATTTGAGACTTTGCATGCCCTAACTTTGTTGTTTTATTTTTGGCAACCCAAGCCTCGGGATCTTTTAAAGTGTTATCTTATAAAGAAAAAACTTTATACGAAATTTAGTTTTCGTATGCTGGACTGAATATCTGTTTCCGCTATATTCCACCTGGAGTGAAATTTTCTAGTTTTGTTGCATATATTCTGAAGGTGTTATGAAAACATTTAATCTATTGCTGGTTCTGCAGAATATTGAACACAAACATTTCATCAATCTTCAATTTCTCATCATATTAATCAATCTGTTTTACGTTCTACCTCTACACTCTACACTCTACACTCCCAATCTGTTTACTGTAAAAATAATTACTCTAAAGACACTCCCAATTACAAAACATAACAATAAAAGGTATTAATTAGCTAAATATCAGTAATATGTGATTTGCACAATTGCTCTGCCGCCATTATTTAGAATCTCAAGGCAGAGTGACAAGCTTAACAGATTAGTCATTAGTGCTAAAAAACAACAACAAGAATATCACCTATTGTGATGCGTTCGTGGGAATATGGTGCTGCGCAGCGCAAAGTTCCCCAACATTCCCCCCTCCTTGATCCACTATGGATCAAGCATGAGTTTGGTCTTGGCGCGTGCATTGCTAGCTGCTGTGCGCTGAGGACGTATATTTGCCCCTCTCTTACTCCATACTTCAATTTTCACTTCATTCTCATTACTTTCTTTTCCTTCCTTTTCCATTCCTGATTTTTGGTCTCCTTTCTCTAAGTTTTCTTTCTTTCCATTCCTGATTTTTTTCCTGGCTTTTTTCCTCCTCAAATTGCTGATAAACCTGTACATGTATGATACAACTCTCAGCAACTTGCTTAAAGTTCCATACCGATTGATGTCAATTACTTCACTCAGCCCAATAGGCTCTTCTGACACAGTCATTACAACAACATTTTTCTTTCTTTCTTCACTCACTTCTGTAGACTCTTCAACAAGGGAAACAAGAGTATCAGAATCAAAATTGTCACTCTTACATGAAACTGGTCCTGACAACACCCATCCAAGTACCGTCTTCACTGCCACTGGTTCTTTAGGCCCCCCTCTTATAACTAGACCTTCTTGGAAATTCCACAGATAATTGGATCCAATCAAAATATCTATTTCAAGGGAATCTGCTGACCTGCAAACATCTGAGAAATATACATTAGACAAATGTGCATAGCTTTTTTTTATTTCCTCAACATGGATATTATTGATCGTGGAAATCTCTTCAACAACAAATGCCTGAACACGAACACTCCTAGCATTTCCAGTTAAAGGTACCAAGCTTAATTCGCACACTGCTCTCTTTTTTACTTCCGGCTCATTCCTACCAAATGTTTTTATTCCCAGCTCTTCCTCTCTGAGTGGCTTCAAACCTAGCTTGTTAACAACCTTGGCAGAAATGAATGTTTTTTGGCTACCTGAATCATACAGCACCCGTACTTTGCACTTTTCATTCCCCTCTACTCTTGCCAAGGCTGTTTGCAGAGCCACACGCTCTCCAGAAGTAGGGCAAAATGAACCTGTGCTACCAACCCAGGCCTCAGCAGATGGGTTTAGGGGATGCTCGCATGTACTAGCTTGAGACTGCTGAACTTCCTTACTTGCACTTGCGTTGGACCTAACAGTACCCAAGGGCTTACAATGCCTGCTAGTGCATATCAAAAAATGATGTTTACCCTTACAATATTTGCAATTTACCTTACTACGGCATTGAAATACCCTGTGCCCCTTACTCAAGCACAGAAAACATCTTGCATATCTAGACAACAAATTTTTACGTTCATTTGGTCCCTTAACATTAACACAATCTTCCGCAGAATGGTTTTCGTAACAAAATGCGCATCTCTTGCCCACTGGCTCCTGAGTAAACAGGCTGCTTGCTGTTCCAATCTTCTCTCTATGCGGCTGTTGAATTGGCCTAGGCGTAGACACTTGCGACTGAGACGGTTGCGGTCGAAAAACCGAAACGTGGCTCTCCCGGATCTCCACCTCCTTGGCTAAAGCCTCCATCATTTCATCTAGTCCCCAGTTAAGATAATCACCACCAAATCTAATCATGTTTATCCGTATTCCTTCTGGAAGTTTGTCCATCAAGACCGGAACAACGATTGACGAATAACTCTCCTTGTCAACACCAAGGGCCTCAAGTCCACGGAAATGAGTCTCGATGTCATCCAAGAAATGACGTAATCTGCCAACATTTCGTTCATTGTACACTGGAGCTAAATTTATCATGTCGTTGATGTGCGCTCTCTTTATTAAAGTTGGCTTAGCAAATCTCTTCTTTAACAACTCCACTGCTGAATCATACTCAGCATCTGTTAATGCGAGACCCGATATCACTCTTCTGGCCGGCTCATCCAAGAAACTCCGCAGATATTTGAACTTATCAATTTTAGCAAGACCAGGGTCCTCATGTATAGCACTCTTAAAGGAATCCCAAAATTCTTGCCAGTCCTGTACTTTCCCACTAAAACTCCGCATTTGCAATTTAGGTAACTTCACTCTGACAGTACGATCGTTCCGACTCTTCGAATGCTGCAGTTCCGACTCACTCGAGTGGCCATCGTCATTTGATGCGATCGACACGATACTTTCCCTCGACGCTGAGTGAGATTTTGAACTTGAATTAATAGACAACTTTTCATCCTCCATTTCTTTCAATATGTCTTCGACACAAATCAATTGGTAATCGATCTTTTCCTGGATTTCGCTGGCCTGTTCTGCTTCGTTCTCGCAAATCTCATCCTCTGCATCTGTTGTGTACAGATAGTTTAAAACTTCTTTGTCCAATTCCTTCAAAATTATCGACTTCTCTTTCAATGCAGCTCGAAACTGTCGTAATTTGCGATCGTCAACCCCGTCACTCGCTTCATCCAAACACTCTTTAACCTT